GAGAGACAGGGTTCAGAGCTGCAGCTGGAGAGACAGGAATGGGAGCTGCAGCTGGAGAGCCAGGGACCGGAGCTGCAGCAGGAGAGTCAGGGTTCAGAGCTGCAGCAGGTAAGTCCAGAACCTCTGCAGAAGTGGGGACCAAAAGCTCTGTAGGTGTGAGACCCACAGGCAGGCAGGAGGGAGTAGCGTCTGTCTGGACCCCCTCACCAGACGGGTGAGCAGCATTCGCCTGGACCCCCTTGCAGGACTGATCAGCGGAGTCTGCCTGGACCCCTTCACAGGACAGAGGAGAGGCATCCATCTGGATCCTCTCGAAGGACGAATGAAAGAGCCAGGTGGGTTTAACTGAAAAGTCCCAGGAAGTCGAGCTGATCCAGGAGGGAGCAGGAGACATGAAGTCCCAGGAGGGTGCAGCTGCCCAGGCAGAAAATAGGCAGTTGTAAACACTCAAAATAATACATATGTTGGTTTAGTGCTTACCTTTAACCTAAACATTTAAGGAATAAACATTTTTAATAATCACCTTAAAAGTTCCAAATGTTGTCTTTGGTGCCTGTTTGTTGTCCAAATGTATTATTAGTGTGTGTGAATGACAGGGATTAACATAAAACAGTAGAACGGTGCTTTATGAAGTTCGATCCATTTCCCTCTATCACCTTACCGGCAGTTCTGCCACATCCAATATGGCCGCCGCTCCAAAGTACCACTGCAACATGTCAGCCCACTCAACGAGGTGTCTACTAAAACTGCCTCACCAGTTCTCTTCTGTGAACACCCTGGCAGATGACAATAGCCAATCAGTGATGGACAAAGGTAAGAGGAGCTTTGCTAAATAATAATGATGAATGATTGTTTGAAATAGGTTAACTCAAAAACTGCTGATCTGACTCCAAATCTGCCCAAGTTATCCCACCTGCCCAAAGCAATTTTTACCTGCAAAATCAGAATGAAAACCGCCCAACTGGCAACACTGCTCTCATGCCATCATTACCTGCAGCGTTCCCTCATTGCGTTATGAACTTGGCAAAAAGTTATTTTCCTATTCTGCTCCTGTAACCTGGAACACCTTGCAACAAGAACAGAAGCTGTCCACCTTGATTTCTTTAGGGGATTTTAAACATTTCATAAGGTCAATAGAAACATCAAAGCAAATACTGTATGTTCTTGTTTTTCATAGTTTACCTTGTTTTATATGGCACTTTCATTTATTATTTTATAACACTATTTTTCTTTTTAAAGCATTTTACTGTAGTTTATTGTTGTCTGTACTTTATATGTTATCTGTCTAAAACAGGTCTGTCTTTGAAAAGAGTCCTCGTGACTCAGTGAGACTAACCTGTATAAATAAAGGTTGAATGAATGTCCGACTGGGAGAAGACCCCAGGGAAGACCCAGGACACGATGGAGAGCCTGTCTCTCATTTGGGCTGGGAACACCTTGGAACCCTCCCAGATGAGCTGGAAGAGGTGGCTGTGGAAAGACATGTCTGGACCTCCCTGCTCAAGCTGTTGCCCCTGCGACCTGACTTCAGAATAAGCAGAAGATGATGGATGGATGAGTAAGTACGCTCAATCATCCTGGTAAATAAACCACAAAAAATGTTAAATCATGTCATCTGGACAGTTTCTTTTTGGAAAAAACATTTTGCCTTTCATCCGATAGACTTCGCATGCCTGCCACCAAGTTCTGCTGTATTAAATAGAACCAACAATGTTCAGTCAGATCATCAGGACAATTTATTTTTTATTTTTTTGCTGAGATGTTTCATCCTTCATCTGAAGGACTTCTTCAGTCCGAGGAGTCACAAAGAAACTGGAGTCCCACAAGCTCCACACTCCAGATGACCTGAATGAACATTGTTGGAATTGTACTTGGATTATTGAGCATGAACTTTTGTGTTTTGAATCTTATTCATTCATTCAACCTTTATTCATACAGGTTAGTCCCAACGAGCCTCTGGGACTCATTTACAAGAGAGACCTGATTTTAACAAAGAGTGATGACAACAGTGGACAACAAAGGCAACAATAGACAATCATTAAAGAAAGCGTACAAATTGAGAAGAACAAATGGAGGAAAGAGAAACAAAAACAGCTTGATTATAAAGCGATGTAGAAAACTAAAAACAGGAACATGTCTGCATTGGTTTTTGCCATGAACTTAGCAGATGTTTGAATCATGAACACTGCAGGTAATGATGTCCTGAGAGCGCACGCTGTAGCTGCACTCACACAGAGACATGTAGGAGGAGATGTATGAAGGCAGCAGACCAAGAAGTGATTTAAAGATGAAAATGTACCAGTGAGAGAATCTGTGTGAAGTTAATGATGTCCAGTTAACCAGTGAATACTGGGTGCAGTGGTGGGTACGATAATCACAGCCAGTTATGAATCTTAGTGCACCATGATAGACAGCATCCAACATCTGCAGCATCCAACATCTGCAGGGTTCTTGTAGGAGCGTTCATGTAAATAATGTCACTGTGATCAATGGAGGGAAGGAAGGTCACAGATACAAGGTGTTCCTCAGGGTTCAGAGTTAGGCAGGATCTGTTTCTGAGAAAGAAACTCAGTTTAACTTTCTGTTTCCTTACAAAGTTTTCCGTGTGGAGCTTTCAAACCAGTATGCTGTGGAGTTCCCAGAAACTGGCTTTACACATGCAAAATGGAGTCCAGCTGACATGATTTGACTTTTTGTGATTTATTTACCTGGATGATTGAGCATACTTACTTTTTTCTTTTTAACCATTTTGGTCAGGCTGTCCTCAGGCTGGTTCGGTGAGTCGTAAGTGGCCATTTTGTCTATATCATTTGATTGTTATGCACTGATGATCGATTGGTTTAGACTGATGGTCTTCGATTTTGCCAGTGTAAAGACAGTTTCTGGAAATTCCACAACAGACTTTTTTTAAATCAATAAGGTGTTATTTAATACAACAGATGCCGTTGGCAGGCCTCGGACTGATGAAGTCTTTCGGATGAAAGACGAAACGTTTCTTCCAAAAAGACACTGTCCAGATGACATGATTTAACTTTATTGGGATGGATGGATGGCATTTTTACTGTCACTGTATAAATTCTGTTCAACAAAACTCTGATTTGGTGTTTTTTCTTTTTATTATTTTGAATTATTTTTGATTGTACGCATTTTATTTTATAAAATTTAAACATTGACGGTTTTAAATTTCTAATTTTTAATTTTTTTATTTAATTTTATTGTTTTTATTTCTACTTTTTTTTTTTTTTAACAATTCTTTTGAGTTAAGTTGCACAGATCTCTGCTATTTCCGGAAAGTTTCGGCTCTTTCTGTCTGCTCTTTCTTTTTGTATGGGTTTTCGTTCTTTCCGGTAGGTGTAGGCATAGATATAAACACTAGATCCCTCATCGGCTGCTGCGGCGCAGGAATTTCGGCCGCCATCTTGGAGCGGTCGTCCTTATTTGGTTAAAGCAGAAGATGTCTCAGCACTTCGCAGCTTCTTTCTGTTCAGATCGACGGACTGTTGACGTCAGGTCTCGGGGGATAACTTTTCACAGTAACATGAACATATTATTGTTAGTATTTTGTGAATATAATATTACTGTACTGTATTTATGTCCACCAGCTGATGTGATGTTCAGTGTAACACGTGTTCAGCTGCAATGAAGCTGACTGAGATCTGATGACAGGAATATTTTGCTAACAAGCATACTCACTATTTCAGCAGCTTTGGTTCATTATCAACAGATATGCATCAGAACTGGAGTTTTGTTTAAGTTCTAGGAAATAAAAAAATAAAACTAGGGAGAATATAGGAAATATAAAATAAGATTGACCTCCTCTGTACAATGTTTTTGTGTAGACACAAATGTCCTGTTTTCATTTTGAAGGTTTCCCAAAGAACAAGATGTGAGGAAGAGGAGGAAGTATCTTTGAGGAGGATTCATCTGAGCAGTGAGGATTTTAAACTGGAGGATTTTGATCAAACTGATCAGACTGTCCGACTGAGAGATGGTGTGGTACCATGGGTTCACCTTCAGAGAGTAGGAGCATCATCTCTGTGCTGCTGAACATGAAAAATTAACCAGAATGGGGTTTAAAAATGTGT